TACTCTATAACACTCATATACACATTCTGCTAACACACACGCATACACACACACACACACACACACACACACACTCTCTTAGATCACTTAGCTAGTGTGAACATGGGAGTAGACAGAGGAAAGGGAGCTGTCCAACACAGCTAGAGTTTATGTTCACAGGAGCCGTCTGTCTGTTCTGCAGCGGCAGGAATTCATAGGGACCAAATTACATTAAAAAGATGGATATAAAACTTTAATGGAATGATAAAAAGGAAAGGAGGACGCGTGGGTCTCTCTCTTTCTCTGTTCTGTCATTAGCCCTCTATTTTCTTCTCTTCCTCTTTTTTCTCTCAATTCCTCATTTTACCTTTTTCTTTCCGCACTTTTTCTCTCCACTTCTTTTTTCCTCTACCCCCCCCCCCACATGAAAAGACAGAAATAAAGACAAAGAGTTGGAAAAAGAGTGAGAGAGGAAGACATATGGCAAAAGGAGAAAGACAGAGGAAAAAGAAAATACATGAAAAGGGTCAATGTAAAAGAGAGTGAGAGATACAAATAAAAGAAAGGGTCAAAAGTAATGAGGAGAATACATACTTGAATCCATATTGTTAATAAAGGACCATGTCAAAATACAGTATACTATATTCAGTTGTGTAACAAAGTGGAAACCTGCAAGGTTATAGCTCACACCTATAAAGGCAGATCAGGTTCAAAGGACCGCAATATAAAAAATAAGTGTGTATATTAAGATTTCACAGATGTGTCACTTGAGGATATATATATTTGCTTGTGTGGGTTTGTGCGCATGTATGTTCACGTTGAAGCGTGAATACTACATGTATGAACTTGGCCTTACTATATATGAAACCATACTGAATGAAATGTAAAAGTGCTTGCTAAGGTTGTCATTTTTTGAAGTGTGTGGGAGAGGAGATTAGTAAGGGAATGCAGCCTTTCCTGTCACTGCCAAGATGACGAGAGGATGGGTTTATGGTGACAAATTACACATCAATGTTAGAGAAATCCAATCTGGCTGCACTTGGCTTTCTTCCATCATGGGTTTAAATCCCTTCTTATTAAAAGCTCCCATACCTGTCCTGTATTCTATTATTATGTTAAACGATTTCTTTTGTGCATGCTTTAAAATGATTGGACATTTTCACATTTAAACAATAGTAGGTGTTGTATGTCCATGCATGGAAGTAAGATTTAATTGTAAGATGTGATACTTAAATTGTAAAAGAAATTTATTAGGATTATTATTTATGACACCAGGAGCTGTAAAAAGAGATTAATGTGTAAAAGATATAATATAATTCAGAAAGGAAACCTGAATCCTCCTTGCATATGTACTATATTCAAATAAACAAATTAATGAGTGAAACACACACACACACATGCACACACACACACATAAAGACAGCATCCCAGTGTTTTGTGTTTCAATGATGAACCTGAAGTGCTTTTAGACTATGCAACATTGATTTATGCAGAAAGATTTGCGACGGTGTCTTGTTTTGTAGTCTTTCTTAACTTCAACCCTACCAGTCAAGAGGTTTGTACGCCCACAGTCAGAACACACAGTGTCGGCCTGTGTGTGTTGTCCTTTTGGGGATGAGTTTGTCTGCATGAACCTTCATGACAGTTTGTTATTGCTTGTGAGCATGAGGAGGTGTGTGATTGATAAGGAGGACAAGCGGGTGTGTGTGTATGGGGGGGCCTGAGAGAAGCAGAGAGATGGAGAGGGATGGAGGTTTGAACGACGGGGCACAGTGTGACCGAATGGACACATCTATTACAGGCCGTACATACAGAGAGAGAGAGAGAGAGGTAGATTTGCATACGTTTTCACTCATACAAAAACAAAAATACCAATATTGTTCACCTTATCTATAATTGTTGAGAACACAGAAACACTTCCAAAAAAAGCTCACTTTGTTAAAGACAGTGTGTGTGTGTGTGTGGTGTGTGGTGTGTGTGTGTGTGTATATTTGTGTTTTCTAGAGGAAATTAAATTCTGAATATCAATGAGAAAAGCATAAGGCCATAATATAATGCATCCTAAATGTCTGCAATTGTGTGTGTCTGTATGGGTGTATGTGTGCATCAGTGTGTGTAGCTATACTTGTGTGTAACACCGCACATACAGTACATGTGTACATACACATTTGTGTGTGTGTACATGCGCATGTATGCAATGTATGCAAATCTCAGCTGCTTAATGATAATGTATGTGATAATAGCGTGGTACTAATTAATTTATAACTTTGCACTGAGGAGGCTGTTCCAGTGGCTAATATGATTCTATTACAGCAATTAGCCCACAATGACACTGGCTAGGTCACTCACACACAGACACACACCTTACAGTATGCAAATCTCACTCTGTCAGTGTGTTTCATCCTATCTTGCTTGTGCCCATGTTTCGACCAGCTTCTTTTAATATGTTCTGTCTCTTCTTTATAGTTTTGTTCATAGTGACCGCCTCCACCAACACCAAGAAATTTTATCAATTAAAACCTTGGAAACTTTCAGAGAATACAAGAAAACTGGGCAGAGGCTCTGTTTTTTACACCACAAGCCATATGTTTAATGTGTGAGGCTATTGTTTACATCATCACCTAAAATCAGGAGATCTGTCAGACTCATTGAGTTTAACTTTGACTCAGCAGCACTGACGGCCAACTGACGGCAGAGGCCAACTAACAACCAGCTGCTGCCAGCCACCTGCCAGCCACTCACTTGCAAAACCCGGCTGGACTGCTGACACAAGCACCCAGGCAGCACAATTCAGTATGAAAAAGCAATGCCAACAACCACTGCCAACAGGTAGCCTATAGAGCAGCAGTACAGAGTGTTTATCTGACCCAATAAGTTTGTGTATGACCACCAATATAACCATTTAAGTGTTTTCTATGGCCCTTCTCTTCTGTTGTTTTAACATTGCCTGTGTGAACTGGAACCGGGGTGCATGCATCTGTGAGTAACAAGTATGTTAAAATTTATGTGTGCACTTATGTGTGTATGAGTATGCATACTTACTGTCCTCGGCGGTAAGAAGGGTTGCCCAGGGGCCGACTGTCTGCCCATGTGTGTGTGAAACCACCACTCTAAACACATACTGTGTGTACGGTGACAGGCCCTCTATGTGATAGGTAAAGATGTCTGTTGCGTTTTCCAAAAGCCTAGAAGTTAATGGACAGAAAAACAAATACATTTAGGTGTCTGTCTGTCTGTCTGTCTGTTTCTTTACACAATGCCTGGCTTTTCGAAATGTGAATCCATGTTGACATGTAAGTCTTTAGACTTTATGATTACAAATATGAAGAAATTCGTAACCACAAGTTAGCAAAACTTTCATTTATAGTTGCCATGGATGCCATTTAGCTTGTTATATTATTAAATATATAGCAACACCTTAATTTTTGCCTTAGCCCAAATGTTTTCTCTACCAACTTTATCTTCCAGCTCTTCTTTTGCTCCTTAATGCCCGATCACAGATATTCAGCACTGGACAGCTCCCCAGAGTGTGTTTCTGCAGTAACAGTTTCTGTGGTCAGCTGATGTCTACATGATACATAGTGATTACCGTGGCTACAGTAACATTTTAACTGCTTGTTCTTGTTAGACAAAATTTAAATATAGATCAGACCTGTCCCTTTTTCTGTTAACACAGAATAACCATGTTTCACACATTTAGTCTCTTATAGCGTATTTGCAGAAACCATTCCAGCATAAATTGTATAGGAATGTACAACGTTTACCACCTCCACCAACACCACAAAATGAATACACTTTTATTAAATAAAACCTTGGAGACTTAGGGAATAAAAGAAAGCTACAGCTACAACAACAATTTATGACACAGATGTTAACAACCACTAAGTAATTATTAAGTGTTCAGTATAAAAAGTTTACCTTTACAGCACTGATTTATACTTAATATTCTGTGTATGGAACATTCTTAGTCTATATTATAGTTTTTTCTGGAAATGAAAAAAGTCAAAAGTGTCTCAGAAATAATGCATGCCATATAGAGACAGTACAGACAGTAGATCTTATTTCAAGATAACAACATGCTGTATCTGTTTTATGTAATCCACTATGCTCTTTCTAAATTAATTTAAGTGTTTAAGTGTTATGTTATAAAAGTGTCAAGAGACAAGTTTTATTTAGTCACGAAACAGTGAATATATTGGCAATATGTACAATATTTTCATAGCTTTTCATCATTTTCCCATGTCATACCTGATCCCATATCATATAATCATACAAAGGAATCTAGGACAAAGTAAAAGAATATTGTCATAAATGAGGGACCGTTGACCATTTAGCATCACATGGATAGAAGGGATGAATGAATGAATAAATCAGGGAACAATGAGATTTCCATAGCAGAGGAGGAGGAGGGCATGGCTGTCTGATATATAATACATGTAGCTAGTCATTTATTTATTACCACAGAATGAGAGCCTCCTCTTCTTGGATTAAATTGCAATTTGTTGTCAGGAAGCATGTAATGAATACATATCAGATGCACACCCTCTCTCTCTTTTTATTCTATCACATTTTCACTCTCTCTCCCACTGCCCTGCTTTGATTTTTTTTGTTTTTTTGACTCTAACCCCCGTCTCTCCAGCTCATTTCCTCTCTGTTTTTCTGATGGTCTGTCATATTGATGTGACATATTCAGCTGTGCTGTATAATGTACCCCTTTATATGTACAGTAGTATATATTTATGTGTATACATTTTCTAGGTGCATACTGTACATTTCATATGTATCTGAGAGTCCTGTGTGTTTCTGTCATTCTCTCAATTTTTTAAAATAACTTTTTGGTGAGTTTTATGCCATTAATTGATAAGATTGACAGGAAAGGCAGGAGACAGAGAGGTGGTACGCCATGCAGTAAACAGTCACAGGGTGGAATCGAACCCAAACCCGCTGCATAAGACATGGGGAGCACACTCTAGGTGAGCTAGAGGGCGCTCCCTGTCATTCTCTTATTGCTGTTTATCATCGAATGTTTCCATGTGCTGTGGACGACTGTGTGCAGACTTACTCCACTAGTTTATCTACTGTGTCCGCACATTTCATAGTGTCTTTCACCTTATCACTGGCCTCTGTGGTGATGTCCTCATTTGCAGGCTGTAACGGAGTGGGCCTGGTGCGTTGGAGTGGGCAGGAGCAGACCAGGATACATTCAGACTGTTACCAGTTGCATGGGACAACCTCGGAGGTGACAACCCATCTGGGGCTATGAAGAGAGACAGAGAAACAAAGACAGGAGGTAGGAACAGGTGATGAAGGCAGAATGGAGATGGTAGGGATGGAATGAGGACAGCCAAGGAGTAAAACAAAAATATTTCTTATAAATGAGGTGAGAGTGCCTCAAAGAGCTGCTAGATTTGCTGATATACAACCACTAAAACGTCTCTCTCTCATTCACACCCACACACACAAATGCTTAAAACACAGCGTTATGACCCCGCTCTCTCAAAGTGGCCCTCTTTTCCAGCTGCGCAAGACCGCGTAGTGCTAGTGTTGGGAAAATCAGTAAAAACATCTTGATTCAGGATGATAGCTGTGCTCTTAACAGAAACTGAGAAGATACAAGGAAAGACATAACGAGTGAGAGATAAGGACAACAAATATAAGGAGCAAATGAGAGTGACTGTGGTGTTGACTATGCAAAATAGGAGTAGGCCCTCTGATGTATAAAGTGACCCTTCAATCAAACACACTGCTCTCTTTCCACTACAAAAAGACTGATTGCTGAAGACATCTTATCCTAAAGATGGCTGTTGCAAACATACACACATACACAGTATGTGGAAAAGTGTGTATGTGCGTGTGTGTGTGTGTGGGCTTCATTATTTGTGCATTTTTGTTCAAGGCCCACCTGTGACTCTTTCTCATCTCCACCAGTTTTGTCACCACCCTCGTGTCCAGATAGTCTCCTCCTCTCTTGCTCTCTCTTTCTGTGCATTGGGGCTAAAGAGTTTTTGACTTATTTCTTATTGGTCTGTTTTTAAAGAAGCATAGCTTGGACAACCGAAAACGCAGAAACACAAGAACCAAAAATTAAGGTCTGAATAAATAAAAAAACTAACAAAAACATTCATTATTTAAGGACATCAAGTTCAGTCTGTGTTTCTTATCAATTTTATAAATACTCTACCAGCAGTCAGAGTTGATGGCACTATGTACTATGAGATTTTTTTGCAAGCATAATGCTTGTCAGTTAAAAAGTTCAGTTTAGAATCTTATAATAAGAATATATATTTAATATATTTTTTTTACAGCTAGAATTGATTTGACAAATTATTGGATCAGTAAGATAAAGCCATCCTTTAATTTGAATTAATACAATATTTTTGAAATCACGCCTAGTTTATAGGTTTTAATAAAGAAGACCCTATTATAGATCAGCAAAATGGTCATTCCCTGAGTGTGAGTAATTCTTGAAACATGCGTTGATTTCTGTGTTTCTGACACACACCAACACAGACACACAC